TAGTGATATATTTTTTTCTTTTTTATATTTAAATAAAATGTATTTTTTTGAATTAACGTTTTTCCTGTTATATTTTGCTACTTATTTTCTTTGCTTTGTTTTGTTTTTCTTTCCATTTCTTTTTTTTTCTTGTTTCTTCGAACTTCTCTTTTGTGTTTATTGCATAAAAGAAAAGAAGTTTTTTTGCTTATTTAGCAAGTCGGAACATTTATGGAATAATGGAATATAACTCAGCAGTAACAGCTGCTATTGTTGGGTGCCTTTTTTTTTTGTGCTTTTACACGCACTTAGATACTTTTTTTTTGGCTTTTGTCGCTGATTTTTAGACTTTTAAAGGCATCAATATATATATTTTTTTTTGGACGGATCAGTTTCTATTTTGTTGCATCGTATCCAACTTTGTTGCTTTTAATTTTTTCAGTTTCAACTTTTTTTTTTTTTTTATAACTCCGGTTAACATTTTTACATCGATCGTTTAAGCAAACGCTTTTTTGCTTAGCAGTAATAATCTCTGTTGGTTAGTAATCTGGGCTTCGGGCTTCAGGCTCTCGGCCACTGGGATATGATAAAGCGGCAAAGAAATGCCAACAACTGTCTATTGCCTATATGTTCCATATCTACAGGTTATTTAAAGCACTGAAAAGATCAAGCTTAAGCACACTGATATTGCTGCTTACTGTCAAATAATACACTTTTTTTTTAAAACACTATCATTTTTAGATTAATTATATGATTAATTTTATTTAAAATGTTTTTGTTGTTGTTGTTTTGTTTCTGCTGCACATTATTCTTTGCTGTAGCAGAAGCAGTCAAATTTTATTGAAGTTTTTGTTAATTGTTGTTGTGATAAAAATCTTTTTGTTCTTTTACAACTTTCTTTGTTTTCTTAACCTTCTTTTTTCACTTTTTATACGTTTTTAAGCTTATTAATTTACATTTGTCATTTCACTGCTTTTTTTTTTTTACAGCACTTCTTTTTTTTTTCTGAACAATGGCAACTTTGTCTGTGGCAATCAACTCCAACGTTATGCTGTGTTCAAAATCTGATGTAGCATCGATGTCGTCCAGCCTTGAACGTCCATTTAAACTACTGGTCAAAGGCAGAACATTTGTTTTGGATCCTCAAAATTTATCTAAATTATCACCGATATTTGCAATTGTCCTATTTGGTAAAGATTACGATAAAGACAGAGAAGTCATTCGAGAAATTGTTGATGAAAAAAGTGCTGAT